CCCACACTGTACCTTTGCTCATGTCCTTCCCTCTGTCTGGAGTGCTTTTCCTCCTCTTTGTCCATCTGGAGAACTCCTACTCAGTCTTCAAGAGCAGTTCAAGGCTCTGGGCAGGAGTCAGAAGACACAAATTCTAGTCCTGGCCTTAACTTGAACATACTAATCTGTGAACTGAGGGGGTCAGACTAGATAATTTTGCAAATCTTTTCCAACTCTGCCTTTCACAAATTCATTTCTTCGTTCTGCAAACATTTCCCGAACACTCACTCCATGCCTGGGGAGTCAGGAAAGGCTCAGCTGAATCTTGCAGGATTCAGTGGGCCAGCGGTGCTGTGGGAGCACCAAAGAACTTCCTCACCCAAAGGGGAGCAACAGCTTCCCAGAGCAGGGGCGTTTGAGTAGGAGTTTGATGGGGATGGGCAGCTATGGGAGCCCCTTTGTGCTTGAGTTTCTTATCTGCAGAGTAGGAAGATTATGTCTTAGTTTTGGGATTTCTATTAGAGGCAATAAGATGCAGCTATCTTGGGCTTAGCACCAAGTGGGGGATTAGTGAATTTTTACTGTATTTGAGTGGAGGAAGAAGGTGCCGCTAGGGGCTGAGGATCTGTGTCCTGATTTGGGTCTCCCTTCCCCTTCCTTCTTCTAGTTTTGCCTTAATCTCCACTTAAGCGCTTCTGGGCCTTAAGGTTTGGTTCCCTAGGGGAGGTAGGTGCGGTGAGAGGCAGCTGGTCCCAGGGACTTCCTCAGTAACAGGAACCCCATGTGTGTTGCACTAGCCCGATGCCAGCAACAGGTGGACATGTCATTTCATTTAATTCTCACGAGGAGCGCCCATCTCCATTGCCTTATCTCACGAGGAGCGCCCATCACGAGGCTCAGGTGGTGAAGTGGCCTTGTCCAGACCCACATGGCTGACAGGAGTGGAGCCCCTGCCCTTCTGTTGCTAAGGTGCTCCCTGATAGAGAGCTCACTGCAGGCCGAGCTGCCCCTCTAGCTGGCCATTTGCTGAACCAGCAGTGTAAATTGTGCCTCACCAGGGCCTCCTCACTCAGGACACGAAGAGGCCAGGGGCCCACTCTCTCCTTTATTCTTCCCTCACACAGCTCCAATGTGGCTGAGCACACAGAAGGGGCTTTAGGGGCTTATCTGGCTCAACATTCTTAGAAGAACAACAACAACAAATCGAGACTCAGATGGGCCAGGATGTGGCCAAGGCCACACAGAAAACCAGGTGGTGGAGCTGGGGCTGCCCAGGATCCCAAGTTGCAGAGGATGAGGTGGGACTCTCTAGGCCCTGTCTGTTCTTCCTCCCTCTCTTGTCCATCCAGCTCATCCTCTCCATCCCAACACGTCTCTCTGTCCAGACCAGGCTTGTGAGGCCTTGCCTGTACCGTTGCACAGCCTCAAAGAGCTCCTCACCGGTCCATCCATAAACCTGCCCATGCCACTCTCCTGCTCTTCAACGGCTCCTCATCTTTCCTAAGATCCTAAGATAAGGATCCCTCTCCCTAACTAGGCTTTCAAGTCCCTTCTTGGCCTGGACTGCCCACCTGCATCACTCCCTGTCCCCAACACCCACCAGACGCTCTAGCCAGCTTGGTGGAGGTCACCACATGGGCTCTTTTGCACCTGGGCCTTTGTACATGCTGACCTCCTTGCTTATATCACTCTCTCCCTTTTGCCTGATGTTCACCCTTTATGGCTAAATAAGGCATCACTTCTTCTGGGAAGCCTTGTTGGCCCCAGGCAAGGTTAGGTCTCCTCGGGGCCCCTACGGACTCTGGTTTCCCTCCATCACACCTCTGATGACACTGGGATTATAATACTCAGTTTACACCTACGTCTATTACATCCATGCCAGCACTGCCTGATAGAAATATAACGTGAGCCATAAATGCAAGCTGCGTACATAATATGAAATTTTCTAGAAGCCAGGTTAAAAAAATAAAATGTGACAGGTAAAATTAATTTTAGTAGCTTATTTTATTTAACTAGTTTATCCAACATACATAATTAATATAAAAATAAATGAGATGTTGTGTGAGATACCCTAAATATTAGTGATATTCTACATCCTCTTTTGTACTAGTCTGTGGAATCCGTATATACTACGGATTACACTTATAGCACCTCTCAATTCATTCTAGCCACATTTCAAGTGCTCAGTAGCCACATACAGCCACTACTTTGGACGGTGCAGGTGTGAGCTTCTTAAGGGCGGGAGCCCAACCCGAGTGCTCTGTCTGGGTCCTTAGTGCTCAGCTGTGCTTGGCCCAGTGAAGGGGCCACGTAGCATTGTGGTTAAGGCCCTGGGCTGGGAGCTCAGCTTCACCATTTAACAGCTGTGTTACATTGGCCGATCCCATTGGGCCTCAGCTCCCTCATCTATAAAGTGATGGTGATAACATTTTCAATATGGTTCATACTGTTAATATAAACAGATACAGTTTTATAGATCTTCACAGATACACACCGAAGGGGAGGGAGGAAAAATCGCTGGTCCGGTGAGTGCACAGGATATGTGGGGAGGAACCTTCTCCCTGGCCTCCTGCCCTGGTTGATTTGGGGACTGGGCCCACACTCCCCCCTCCCAGAGCCCTGGTCCGCAGTGGGGTCACATACTGGTCTAATGCTGGTGGCTCCGGGGACTGAAGGCTTTTGAGCTAGTGAGGGGGGAGGGGGAGGGGAGGAGTTACAGTGTGCATGGGGATGATGGTCTGTAGACTGGCTGAGGATTCATTGCCCGTTTGGTCAGGGGATGGGGAAGCAGGGGTGTGGTAGGGTGGGCATAGGGCCAGGCTGCGGCAAGTGATCCTTACTGCTGCCAACCGACCCCTGAGGCCTGGGAGCTGTGCATGTGCTAGTAGGCCCCCTGGTTTTCTGCCGGGCCAGCAGCTGGGGTCTGAGTCTGCTTAGACCTCGTAGACCTATATGGAGTCAGACAAGCCTGGCTGCTGCCCCTCTTCTCTCTCCTCACACATCTCTCTCTCTGTCTCTCTCTCTCTCTCTTAATGGCTTACCAGGGCTCACCCAGTCTGGGGTGGAGGGAGGGGCAGTAGTTATTGAATTGGGCTCTGCTGCCCCCTCTAGACTGAGAGCAGGGAACTTTGCCACCTCACTTGTGTCCCCTGTGCCAGCACAGGGCTGAGGGCAGACAAGACCTCACCTTGGAGAGCTGGCTGAGCCAATGAGTGAGGCAAAGCAGTGTCTGAAATACTGCAATGGCCACAGGGCAGCAGGAATTCGTAGGAGGCTGGAGTCTGTAAATCTGCGGGGAGGTGGGCCTGGGACCGGACTGAAAAGCACAAGCAGGATCTGGACAAGAGAAGAGGAAGAAGCAGGGGGTTGTGGGGTGGGCAGTGCCCATGGATCAGATATTAGTGGTAGGAAGAGCTAACATTTATTGAGCACTTAGGGTATACAGTATGTGCATCTCACTGACTCTCATGGTGTCTCCACTAGGGTGGACAGGTGAGGAAGCTGAGGTTTGGTGGGTGACAAAACTTGCTCAGGGTCATACAACTGAGAGCCAGAGCCGACCTCAGCCCTGGCTAGTTGGCTCCAGTGCCTGCCTTCCTAACCGGACATCGGCAGCGGTGGCCAGCTCCCAATTTACGCAGGCCCAGCATCTTCTAGCCGTGTGGGGTGTGGTCCCCGATCTAGTGCCTTGAAGAGAGCCTCAGACTGGGGCAGGGGTCCCCTGGGGCTGAGTGCCTGCCATGTACCTGCATTTGTAATTGCTGCAGCAGTGACAGCAGCACCGCATCACCCAGGAGGTATCAGGTGCTTCACATCTGTCACCTTGCTGACTGCTCCTGGATGCTGTGGGTTTAGATGTATTATCTGCCTTGTAAGGTGAGGAAATAGGCCTAGGGGGGGTCAGAGCCACTAAGTGGTGGAGAGGGATTCAAACTGGGGTCTGTGGGACTCTAGAGTCAGCATACCTGAGCTATGGCCTGTCACATCATCCCAGAGATGTTTGCTAAGTGCCTTTCTGTAAAGAGAACTCCAGAGACCAGCCCAGAGCCCAGCTAGGTCCATGGGCTGCTAAAGATGGAACCCTGCATCTTCCTCATGGCCTGAGGCCATCCCCAATGCCCCACCCCTGCTGCTCTAGGGGGCTGTGCAGTGCTCGGGAGTGGTCCCTTGCAGGTGGCAGCAGGCTCTGGTGAGGCCAGCTGAGAGTGCAAACATCAGGAAGGGACTTGGAAGGGATGGCAGCAGCACCATTCACTGATGCCTGCCCTACGCCCAGCTCCACCCAGACACTGAGAGTGGCTCACAGCCCTACATGGGAGAAAGACACCTTCACGTATTCACAGCCTAACCCAACTCATACCCTGGGGGAACAGTGATGGAGGGTCCTGGGGCAGCTCAGAGTCTTCCCAGGGGACACATCACTGGTGTTAGTTCTTAGAGAAGTTGCTAACTGCACAAGAGAGGGAGAGGGCTTCCAGGCAGAAGGAACAGCATGTGCAAAGGCCTGGAGAGAGGAACTTCTAGATAGACCTGTATGACTGGGGTGTGGGTGCTGGAAGAGAGACGGTCAAGCCCTGAACATCCTAGAACAGCAAGCCGAAGAGCTGGGATGTGCCCTGCTGCTGCTGGCCCACCATGGCCTGTGGCTCTGGACGAGATACAGGGCCTGTCAGCCCCGCCTGTGCCAGGGCAGCAAGAGCTCCACAAAGTCCTGGCCAACGCCTGCAAGTCACAGTTCCTCCTGGGCCACAGATTCCCCTTCTGTGAAGTGGGTGTCCGGTGCTCAGAGCCAGGACTGGTAAGGGCTGCTGGAAGTTTTGCAGACTTGCCTAAGGACAGGGCTTCACCTCCTCCCTCCAGAGGGTAGCCCTGATGAGGGGGAGGTGGGTAGGGAAGGGAGGGTGGCAGCAGATCGGACGTGTGCCCAGGATCCCTGGGTAGGCTCTGTCTTGTGCCTAGGAGGGCCCTAGTATGACTTCCATAGGCCCTAGCCCTGTGCCTGCTGTCCCTAACAGGTGAAGTCTGACTCACCCCCTCCTGCAGGCACCATGGCCCGGAGCAGGGCACTGCTGTTCCTGTTGCTGTTGCCATCGCAGCTGCAGCTGGGACCGGTGAGCACGGTGAGGTCTCCGGGGTTTGGCCGAGGTGGTGCCCACAGCCTGAGCCCTGAAGAGAACGAATTCATGGAGGAGCCAGTGTTGGTCCTGAGCCCTGAGGAGCCAGGGCCTGGCCCTGCCACCATCAACTGCCCCCGAGACTGTGCCTGCTCCCAAGAAGGTGTTGTGGACTGTGGTGGCATTGACCTGCGTGAGTTCCCGGGGGACCTGCCTGAGCACACCAACCATCTGTCTCTGCAGGTGAAGCCGCCATTGCAACAGCGGTCACCAGGGGCTGCCCTCTACATCGCAGCTCCTGGCCCAGAACCCCCAGTTCCTGTGGCTCCCCAACCCCAGACACAAGGTGCTAGGGCATTCCCCCCTCTGATGTCCCAGTCACAGAGTAACGTGATATTATAACTGCTTTGTTTTACTTGGAGGAGTCTGGGCTGAGGGAAAAAAGGACACAGATCTGCCTGGCAGCTGACCCTCTGAACGGACGGGGTGCCCAGACACCATTACAGGCCAGGAGAACAAGAGAAAGTCGACCCTGATTGATGCTCTGGGGGCTCAGAGGATAGAGTATTCTCCCCAGCTGAGTTGCAGGCTAGATTTTGAGAAGTGGGACACAGTGTTCCAGATGGGGGACTCTGGGAGTTCTGGTGCACCCAACTTTGTGTGGCCCAGCAGCTCTGAAGGAGAGAGAGGGGCTCTCGTACCCATTTCCAGAGATCAAGCCTAGTGAAGGAAAGTGATCTGCCCAATGGTCACTCAAACTGATAGGTCTAGGGTGATGGTGGAGGGAGCCCGCGGCCAGGGTAGCCCATGAGGGAAAGGGACAAGTTAAGGACAACACTTACTGTTGGTTCATTCACTCATTTATTCATAAAAGTCTCCCGGGTGCATGCTTGATACGTCTGGTGCTGTGTCAGATGCTGGGCGTGTAGGGAGGACTTGAACAGCCTATGGGGGAGGCAGAGATCTAAACAGGTAAAGACAACAGATGGAGACAGAAGGACTAGTGCTGTGGGGCCCATAGCAGTTCCTAGTCTGGCCCCAATCCAATTCAGGAAGGCTTTTGGAGGAAGGTTTTAAAGCATTCCAAAGGGAGTGAGGACCCAGGTTCCTCCCCCCAACCCGAGAAAGGGAGCCAAAAGTAGTTTCTGGCTTGGGGTGGGGAGAATGGGCTGCGGATGCCTGTCATCCAGTGGGAACATGAAGGGAGCGGGTCTAGAGGGGAGGCGGCACTCCAAGTTTGAACCACCTGGAGATGCTCCCATCTGGGCTCCTCGAAGGTGGGACCTGCATGCCTTTTGTGGTCACTGCTGTGCCTCCAGCGCTGAGACCCGGGCCTGGCCCAGACCCAGGGCCTGTCTGCATGAGGGTGAATCCCAAGGGAGGTGCCCAGCAGAGGGACTGGCTCCTGGGACTGGGACTGAGGGTGGGGGCAGGCCTCTAGTGAGCCTGCCTCCTCACCATCCCTGGCCCTTACTCCCCAGAACAACCAGTTGGAGAAGATCTACCCCCAGGAGCTCTCCAGATTGCATCGACTGGAAACTCTGAACCTCCAGAACAACCGTCTGACTTCCCGAGGTGAGGGATCACCCAGAGCCCAGGAGAGGGACACGAGGGGGTGGGGACTGGTGCCCATGGGAGGAGCTCCACCCTGCAGATCCTGGGATACGAAAAACAGCAGGGCTGGGCTGGCAGCAGGGCCTCACGGCCAGGGGCTCCCTGTGGTTGCCTAAGAGTCACCCCTGTGGGTTTCTGAGACCTGGGAGTTGGGTCAGGGGAAAGGCTGAGATTCCCAGGACCTTTCTCATAGACTCTTTATTTTTATTATTATTTTTTTAAACATTTATTTATTTTTGAGAGAGAGAGAGAGAGAGGACGCACAGAGGAGGGGCAGAAAGAGGGGGAGAGCCTGAAGCAGGCTCCAGGCTCCGAGCTGTCAGCACAGAGCCTGACACGGGGCTCAAACTCATAAACCGCGAGATCATGACCTGAGCAGAAGTCAGACACTTAAGCGATTGAGCCACCTATGCACCCCTCTCATAGACTCATATTCACAGAAGGCCTTCAGAATCAAAGATGCGTAGAACACTCACATTGTAAAAAGTTATTTTTTTCTGATGATGAAAATAATTTATAACAGAAAATTTGGAAATGTAGAAAACAAAATGGAAAAGAAAAAACCCACTTATAATTCTGCCACGTGGAGTTAATCACTACTAACGTTTGGGTATGTTTCTTTCTACTTTACTTATATGCTGTAAGATTCACCCAACATAAAAGTACAATTTGACGAGTTTTGGTAAGTTTACATAGTTGTACAACCATCACCACAATTCAATCTAGTCTCTTTTCTTTGTGTTTTTTCATTTATAGCTGAGCTTACAGTTTAGATATTATAACTGTCATAATTGCTCTGCTCCACTTAGCAGTTAGCAAAGCAGCATTTTTCATGTTGCAAAAAACTCTCAGTGGCCATCATTTCACACAGCGGCAGCCGGGTATTCCACAGAGGGACCCTGCACGGTTTATGTAACTGTTCCCTCTCCTTAGATGCTTGGGTGCGTCCCAGCATCTGAGGGTCTGGGAGCCCGGAACTGAGTGTCAGAGGCTGGCCTCAGGACTGGAGAAGGGCCAGTTTGGCTGGGCTCCCAGCAACAGCCGAGTCCTGACACTACAGCTGCCAGCTGGGACAGGGATGGGCCAGATGGTGGCGGGGGTGGGGGGGCACAGGGGCCACAGCTCTGCCCTGCAGAGGTATGAGGAGGGTCTCTGATCCTCTAGGGCTGCACCTGAAGAAAGCACTCCTTCCTGATGGGGAAGGGTGGGGATGGGTCCTCTGCCCCGTGGCCTGACCTTATGAGGACCCATTCCCACGTGGGTGCCCCCGAGCAGGTGAAGAATTGGTCATTTGTGAGTAGACACTGTCTACCTGCTCCTCTGAGCCGGGGCTCCTGGGAGCAAGGGGAAAGAAAACAGGGCTGCTGGAACTGGTTGGGAAGGGATCAGAACCCAACATGCCTCAGGGAGGGCCCTCCCGGTCCTGGCAAGTGGGGTGGGCACTGGGGGGGTCGGTGGTGGTGTGCTCCCTTGTAGCATCTCCTTCATCCAGGGCTCTGACCGATGCCTGTCCTTTGAAGGGCTCCCGGAGGAGGCGTTTGAGCATCTGACCAACCTCAACTACCTGTACTTGGCCAATAACAAGGTGAGGGGCCCCCTGGTGTTGGAGGCTGAGCTCAGGTCACTGGGTCCCCATTGCTGCTCAGACATGGTCCCGGTGAGACCTCACACCTCACTGCAGGGCATCAGAGTGGTCAGATAATGAAAACGGAGGCCAAGGCCTTACAGAAGTGCAGGAAGGTGATAGCTACTTGGAGGGCTTCCTGGAGGAGATGGCATTTGAGCAGGGCCATGAAGGGTAACGGGATTTCAGCCAGGGGGCCTAAGGGGGAGGCACTGCCAAAGAGAGAGCATGAGAAAAGGCA